GTCAGGGTTTCTGGATAGGATCCGGCACAGCAAGAATCCCACCGTCAGGGTTTCTTGCACCAAGAAGTTCAACTGTGACCGCAGACCTCTCCCTGCGGACAGTCTAAGAAGAAGACGTGGACCCCATGCGGTGACCAGTTCCTGCACCACATCGAGGAATATGGGCTAACTTTAAGTTAATATAGGAAGCAAGAGAGGCTGTTAGGTTTAGGTTTAGATTAGGTACTTAGGTTAATTTAGATTTAGTTATATGAGATATCTTAAGGCACACAGAGTGTTAGACACTCTAGCGATGTTAGCATTAAGGATCCGTAGATTAAGTAGCAGTAAGAAGTTTATGTATACTTAACTGAAATAAAATATGTTCAAATGAGCAGTTGAATCAGTCTTAGTCGGAAAGCACGGGAGATCACTTCGCCCACTGCCTCATCGCCTTTGAAAATGTCCACCGCAGTTGTGGACGAAACGTCAGGAAGAAATTCAGATAGACCACGGCTTCAAAGCCCGGAAAACATTCCTAAATGTTATTTTTGTTTTTCGATTTTCAAATATAGCTCCATTGCTTAGTCTTAAGGTCAAGCATTGGAGGTGATTTACTTCGATCGATTGATTTTCACGATTTGATACGTGACTTTGCCAGAGAAAAATCCAGAAAAACAATGTTAATTGTATAATAATTTCTAAATCACCATTAAGTTTAAGAGCTATTAAGTTTTTTATTTTTATATCGCATTTAATTAACTAATTTTGATCAGAAAGCCAATGTAAAAATAATCTTGTAATTGCCTACAATTTTTCGCCTCAGAGTTAATGGAAACAAAGCCATCCATTTTAATTAAGAAACGAGATGCAGACAAAAGGTCGTCGGTGGTACCAAATGCACCACCAACGGTAAATGTACAAAAAAATGCAGGTCAAATACAACAGATGTAAGATCTTGCACAGTACAGTGGCTTTTTAAAAATTGATTAATTAAATGCCATAAAAAAACTTCAATAATTCTTTTTTATTCAAAATAATCAAATACTGCCACTTTTCGCAGATAATCCATGACAATAAAAAACAGCACTTCCGTCTTTCCCCTTTGCCACCATTGCATTTCAGTTTAGGGAAATTACTGTTATGCACAAAGTAACTAAAATCCTGTTGGTACTACTAAACGGTGGTTTCCCGGTACAAAGGAATCAAAGATCGGTTCTTAACAGGTCCTGAACCGAGCCTGCGCATTAATTCGGTTCTGAACTGATCATGAATTGCTACCGAACTACGAATAGCTAATATTTATATCGTGCGCGTATGAGAAATTACCCTTGTGATCGATACTTAATAACGCAACATCTCTACACTGACGGATATAACCTTACAAAAAACAAGCTTTTATATGAATAAACTTCAGCATTTCGTAAAATTCGTTTTGATCAGTTAAGAATGAATGCGTTTATGTCCGGACAGATTTTGCTTTCCAGAACTGCCGCATTAATTAATGGCAAGATTCCAGGAGTATATGCAAATAGGTACGTTTAACCCATGTGAAGAATCTATATTTGGTTAAAGTTACTGTCTTTAGGGCCAACTTACTCAAATTCAACATTACGATAGCAAGACCCACAAGCGATAGCAAATCCATTCTAGATGGCACTGAAATACCCGAGAAACCCAAGAAGCCTCTGACCCCCTATTTCAAGTTTTTACTTGAGAAAAGAACTGCTCTGCATAAAGAAAATCCATCACTCAAGAGCAAGGATTTAATACAATTAGTTGCTGAAAAGTGGAGAGCACTAAGTCCCGAAGATAAAGATAAATTTGAAGCAGAATCTATGCAAGATAAACAAAAGTATCAGCTGGAAATGCAATTATATAAAGAGAAGTTAACAACTGAACAGGAAGAAGCACTTCATCAGCTTCAAATCGCCAAACGTAAAGAACGGACCCAACGTAGAGTGAAAAAAGAATCTAAAGCCGAAGGAAAACCAAAGAGACCTTTGTCCTCATATGGGTTATTTATTCGTGATCATGGATCTAGTGGTAAATCTTTCAAGGAACTTCTATCAGAATTGAAAAGTAAATGGGAAAATCTATCGGAAGTTCAGAAAGAAAAATATCATATAGAATCGAATAAAAACTGGGAAAATTATGAAACGGAGTTGCAAAAGTGGGAAAATGATCGAGTTGAGGAAGGCAAATTACACCTTGTGAGGACCAAAACCAAAAAAAGTTTGCAGTTACTTAAGAAAAAATCCAAGCCCAATAAGACCAACACAGAATAGGGATACGAGTGTCTTCACTCTGAAAAATACGCCTCGTCAAGTGAAGGCACTGTACCTCTAGGAACTGGAAAAATATCAACGGTAGACGAAGGTAGTGAGCACATATCTAGATCACAGATAGCTTTACCAGAACACCAATTAGAAAAAGCTCACACTTCAAAAACTGTTGATAAACCTATTTCCAGTTCACAAAATCGGATAATTGAGGCTGAAAGTACGGTAGAAAAAAACAAACCTGAAACAGAAAGGGACTCAAATTCAATGCTGAACAAGTTCCGAAATATTTTTAAGTTTTAAATTCAGATTGCAAGTTTGTTCAAAGTGAAGACCAGGTCTGAAATGTGTGTATTGCGTTTACTATCTTAACTTACATATTTTTCTTGTAGCGTTTCATATTACGTTTCTAAGTAAGAATGCGTCTCATTTTCTTTTCTTTGGTTTATTTTGTTAGCTTATTTGAAGTAAGTTATGTCTGATCAAACGGGTGCAGTTTTTACCGAAACAAATCGTTCATTTTCTTTTTAATATTCTTTTGTCACTCATTTCTGAAGACATGAATATCACGTCTATGTAAGAAAAATACCGCTACGATTTCTGTTTTTTTTTAGTTAACTTAAGTATCGAGTATATTAATAATAGTAGAAATGAATTTGTGACTACTCCGACTGTTATTATATTTTTGTTTTAATAGAATCCCCTACCCAAAATATGTTTGTCCTATATTAAAGTGTTTTGCTTTTCTAAATAAAAAACATATTTTATGTTTACTCCTTATTATTTAGTGTAATAATTTTCAGATTTAGTGGTATGATAGGGATATTTTTTAATGACAGGCACGCTCTTACAGACTGAGTGAGACATTTTTTTGGCTTAAAATGATGTCCAAAATTATTTTAAGAAAAAATGTCCGGCCTGTCGACTATTACTATATTTTTTGCATTTTTGCGCACAAAGAACTGTCAAAAGAGCTACCGAATAAAAAGTTCTGGTAGTTTTTGTAAAAAAACACTCAATAATTCCTCACTTGCCCAAAGTGGATAAACTAGGTTTTCATCAAAAGATGAGTCTTACATAGAAACAAATTCACGGCGTTTAATTAAACTTCATAGTAAAATTATCCTGATATTTCTACACTTCGGGGGCTCCATGAAATGTCTAAGTGATATATTAGCCGGGCCTACACTGTTACACGGCACATTTTTCATTTATAGGCGATATGAAACTTGCTTCCAATAAATTAGGAGAATTACGACATTAACTAATGGAACAAAACATTACAAATATTCGCTTTTGGCCAGTTGCAAATTGAATAATAAACATTAATAAAATGTGTTTCGCGAAATCCCAGTCCACGAACATCGCTAAATTGTAATTGCTCAATTATTAAGTTACGAAGCAAGAGTAGTCTAAGCTAGCCTGATGTGTTTGATTGAAAACTGCAGCAACCTTAAGCTATAATAGACACGTCACGAGGCACCCGATGCAAATTTTAGTTTGTGTTAAAATTATTAGTAATACAAAAGAAAATAAATTAATCATAGTAATTTATATTTCTATCAAGAACCCACTGCAATCGTTCTAATATACAAAATAGATACAAAGACAAAAAAGTATATTACCATGTCTTTAAATGTGCTTTTAAGTAGAGCTAAATATTTAAATATCCAAACTAACTGCTGTCCTTTGTTACTTCTAAACAGTACCAAATATTTGGCAAAACTGTTATCATTATTTTCTTCTTTTTTCCAGAAAAGCCATACTGCTTCAAAACATAGCAAAGGAATAAAGATCTTGTCTACATATTGAAAATTATAAACGTCTGCGAGACTCGACAAAATATTTACAAAAGTAGCTATCAGTATAACAATAACGGTTCTATAGTTCCTAAAATAAGAAACTTCCAGAGGCTTCGAACTGGATGTGGGTCCTAATGGCGCATTTATAGGTAAAGGCGCCACAAAATTGTTAAAAGGCTCACTTAGTTGCTGATGATCTGTATGACTTTCTCCATTTACTTGAATGCTTTTGAAACCTAATAATACAAATAAAATTCAGTACGTGTTTGTATCTAATAGTCATGGAATTATTACCATCAATATCAAAATTTGTATTTCGCTCTTGTACCCCAGTGATTTTTTGCAGTCTACTACCGGAATTCTCCAAAATCTTCCTTCTTCTGGCCTCTCTTCGGGCATCAATAGTTGACATGGTTGTTTCGTTGAACAGTTACTATTTTGCACAAATGCTTTTTCCCAATAAAAAATATTTTAAATTTTAATAGCAATGTATTTATATTTTTGACTATTTATTGGTGACAAATGCCAATTGAAAAATCGTACACTGTTGCCAAGTTACAATCCTTTCTGACCATAATGGTAAAGAATAAAGAACTTATTACAATAGATGGCACTGCAAATCCCAAAGACGTCACGTTTAAATTGAAAATGAGTTCTATCGTTAATATATTTTTTTAAGGCTTTAAACAGAAATAATAAATCGCCTTTATTTTCCATTTGAAAAGCAGTAATTTTTTATAGATAGATGTTGGACGAAAAAGGGATTTTTATTATTGTATTGTAAAATCGTCCCCAAACAACCCTACCAGTTCTTTACAGATCAGTGTCTAGATAAATATCTTAATTTAAAAGGTAAGTAACAGAAGATAATAGTAAAATATTTAATTAACTGATGGTATGAATACGTAGGGAAAGAAGTATTTATTCAAATATAAAGAACATAAATACCTTTATGCATACTCAATATGTTTGCGTTACCGTTTTTGCTTGACTTCTATTTTAACTTTAGCAAGGTATAGAAAAAGTTGCATATTTTAAGACTTAACTATAAATATATGCCAGTATTTAATTGTAGCAGTCAAATTCTTAATTTCCTCAAATAAATTATTAAAACTTTCTTTTTCCAAAAGGGATACAAAAACGTTTGTTGTTATATGAATTGTTTGAATAAAAATATTTTAATATAATTTGTAGTAATAAGATACTGGACAAGACCTCATACAATACACGTAGCCCATTCTCTCATATTTACTATTTAAGCTTAATTTAGTAACTTCTTCGAGGAGTATGTATTTTATTTTTAGGATTAATTATTCTGATAATAATAGTGTACCTAACAAAACTATTTACTCATTTTCTAAATATTTTCTTCATGCCAATAAAAATTGAAAAATAGATATACTCAGTTAAGATAAATAAAACTTCGACTTGAAAAATCATTTAAATGAACGTATTGGTCACAATCATAGCTTATACCGTTCGAATTAAGTACGGTAGATGGGAGGCGGCTTGATAGACCGTATGTCTATTGTTTTGCACAAGCGCAGTTGACTTATTAAGTCACGTGACAACTTATTTTGCTTTTTATACCATGGGGTGCCCTTCAAATGACATTCTCAATTTGTGCGGGCATAAGTGAACGTCGACTTTAGAGAAGAAAATTTGGTAAGTTAAGTCTACCGTTAGTTTTTAGTTTTTGAAAAAAGTGTAATTATATTGTTACGAGTTTTCGGATAATTTCACAGTTTTTCGTTGTTATTGGCTCTAAATAGCAACCAATTTATTTAGTCACGTAACCGGCTGATTACTTACCAGCTAGATACCTTGGGCGTGATTTTATTCTATCATTTTAAGTTCAAGTAGTGCTAAGTAGGCACTGTTTCCTAAATTGATTGATTATTTCTATGCATTTAATCAACATGTAATTTCTCGGCGTTTTAATTGTGCAATGTTTTGTAATTAATTTTTGACTGTCAAAGCCGGTAACACTGTGACCTGTTTGACCTTTCCATTTGTGAAGATCTGTGGGTTTATTCGGAAATATTTTTCAATCAAAAATATAATTTCTCAAACTTAACAAGAAACCCCAAATCTTTTAGTTGCTTATTTAACGCTGGATTAAAAAGATGTGGGTTTTTCTTGGGTATGGTGGTTTTAATATATCCACTTAATTTAATCAAAATGGGTACCTTATTCTTAATTAGGTCTTAGTTAGATATGTATCTTTATTAATAATTTAACTATTTCGGAAAACTTAGCTCAACGTTAAAAATACATTTCTTATGGTTTATATCCATAAGGATGTCCTCAAGTAGAGCAGAAATGTGATTCAATAGCTTTATGTTAGACCAAACATCTACAGACAATTTTCTCTGAAAATGGATATCTATTCCTCCTATTTCTCTGAATATGGAAACTTATGTGTAAAAAATCAGCAACTGTTTTTTTTTCAATTTTAGTCAATAAATTTTAGTTTCATCTCTCGGATCAATCGTAATTATATTTACATAAAAATTGCTACAATCTGTATTTCTGAGTGGGGGGAACTCAGAAATATTGTTACTTTTATATAGCGTTTATACAGACTTTTATATAGCTTTAAATTGAATTAGGTACTAAAAATTAATTTTATTATTCAAATAGCACAATTTACTTACTATCTGAAGTGAAGTAAGTAAGTACTTTGATGTAATATAATAATGCCGGTTCAAAGCTGTTCTGAGTATATGAGTGCACTTTTTCATCATACCATGATTTCAAATAAGCGCAGTTAATTAGTTCTATTCTATTCAAAAACCATTCGAAAACTATTCAAAAATTATACAATCGCTTTTGGAGTTCCATTTTTTAACATATTTATGTTTAATTGAAATAGTTTTAATTTGGCTCTTAGTACATGATTTTTGCAGTGAGCAAGTCAAATTCGAACGTCACGATTAAGCATTGTAAAACCCGCAAAAGATACAAGTTTAATTATAAAAAATTGCATATTGTTGAATGGATCGCAGTTTGCTTAAATTATTGGTTTTTATTATAAATAAAACGGTAAACAGATCGCTGAATCAGGAAGCAATCAGATCTATAAATGTTGTTTACCGTTAAATAAAAATTAGTTACCCAAAAATACAGTAATATTTTATAGTTCCACGGTTAAATAAGCTAAGTTGATCATTGTAAGAACAACTTGAACTTGTGCGATTGTAAAAAAAATGTACATACATAATTTATACTTAGTTGGAAATATTCCAAAGGGGTTGAGGTTGGGAAAAGGAAACTCTTTTGTCTGGTCGGTCTTGTTGAACAAAGAGAGTCCAGGAAGGTCCAATTGTGAGGCGTTTTTCTAATTTGATTCTAAGACTAGTAGTCTTTTGTAATCTTGTCAAACTTGAGCCTTTGTAGAGTACTCGGGTTTGGTGGATTGTGTAAATAAACAATGTTAACAAAGTTTCATTTTTTTAATCAACAGATAAACGAAATCATGTCTAAAATTGGAATTAACGGATTCGGTCGTATTGGTCGTCTGGTACTCAGGGCTGCCGTCGATAAAGGTGCCTCTGTGGTCGCTATCAATGACCCCTTCATCACCGTAGACTACATGGTCTATTTGTTCAAATACGATTCAACTCACGGACGTTTCAAGGGCACCGTAGGCGTTGAGGGCGGAAACTTGGTCGTAAATGGAAATGCCATCCAAGTCTTCCAAGAAAGAGACCCCAAGGTATAGATTTTAGTTATTGTTCACCTGTTTACATTTAATATCAATTTTTGGATTTAATGGGGATGGTTGTTAAGATCTTTAATTTTCTTCTAGGCCATTCCATGGGGAAAAGCTGGAGCTGAATACATCGTTGAATCCACCGGCGTTTTCACCACCATTGAAAAGGCTTCTGCTCATTTGGAGGGTGGCGCCAAGAAAGTTATTATTTCAGCACCATCTGCTGATGCTCCCATGTATGTTGTCGGTGTTAACCTTGACAAATACAACCCTGCTGATAAGGTATGAGTATGATGATTTTATTTGACCGTAAAAAAGAAACAAAATAACGTTATCTTCATAGTCGTTTGAGTCAGTACAATATTTCATGTGAATTATTTGGTCTAAAAAACATATTAACAACATAATTGGCTAACACCACTAACTGACACCCAAAGTATGCCATTTAAACATATACGCATGTAAAAACTTCAAATTTTTGGTACACTATGTACGTTGAAATTTTTTTTAAATTATCTGTATCAAACAGATTTTGGCCTGTAACGCCATAAAATATGCGAAATATACGAAATATTCATAAAACGCCCACACGTACTGATAGATATTGATAGCAAAATCTGTTTCATGATGTTCTCTTAGCCGTCTTAGCCTAATGTGAAGACTTGCATATACCACTACCCATTAACTGAAATCAGAAAATATTTTTTTACGATTTGTGTATGTATATGATGCCGAAATATATAGATTCGATTAAATTGATTTCAGGTCATCTCTAATGCATCTTGCACAACCAACTGTTTGGCTCCATTGGCTAAAGTTATCCACGACAACTTTGACATCGTTGAGGGTCTCATGACGACTGTCCACGCCACAACTGCTACCCAAAAGACTGTAGATGGTCCTTCAGGAAAATTGTGGAGGGATGGTAAGAAAATAATTAATTCATCGATAGGAGAGGATACTTTGTGAACACACTTTATTTCTATGCACATATACAACGTGCACAGAAATTTAAAAATTGCTTATCTCTATAAGGTCAGTGAGTTCACTGTACAAGTCAAACAAATCTTGTTATCTCTGCATTTTCATTATTTAAGCTCTTGTTATGAGAAGTAAATCGATAGTACCTTAAAAACAAACAAATGCAAGGGATTTATACGCTTGGAAAGTTTGATGAATAGGATTTTTTGGTTAGTTTTATTAATCATGACTTAAAATCACAAACAAATAACATTTTTGTCGGGCTTCAATTTGTTCAGTGAAAGTTACTTTCTGCAATATTAATTGTCGAAACCGTCTTGTGTTGTCGTTATACAGTTAGGTCATAATTTTCATTTTCTTTGCAGGTCGTGGAGCCCAACAAAACATCATTCCCGCATCCACTGGAGCTGCCAAAGCCGTAGGTAAAGTCATCCCTGCCCTCAACGGCAAATTGACTGGCATGGCCTTCAGAGTGCCTGTTGCCAACGTTTCGGTTGTTGATTTGACTGTCAGAATAGCCAAAGGCGCCTCTTACGATGACATCAAGGCTAAGGTAAGTTTGTTAAATGGTATACAGGGTGATTTAAAATTGGCGTCATTCCTCTGGAGGTGTTATCTGGAGCTGTTATATGAGTACAGAAAAAATAGTAAAAGAAATTAATTGTTATTAAAAACTGAGAAATTTGCAAAAAACTATATCAGAGATACGGCAGCAATGTTTTTCAAGGTAATCTGCTTAATTAACATTGCGCAAATACCAGTTGCTCCGTAATTATTTAAAACTGCGGTTACCATGGAATTATACAGAGTGACAATAAGATAGACAAGGATAAACGATAAATTCAACAAGATTCGTTGACTGCGCAACGTACTTTCGAAATGTCAACCTGTTCTCATAACCTCGAATTCTGCGGGGTTTGGTGTTCACATAAATACTCCATACAACACCAAACATTTGAATGGGTAACTCCAAGCAAGCTACTGCCTGTGTCCTTATTATCCACTCTTATCTAGCAGCTTCTCGTATTCAGTTAATTAACTCTTGCTCTATTTGTATCTCCTTGTGCTGTGTGTATCGTACAAACGTGGTAGGAATGTAGCCCTTCCTCGGTATTTCTTTGGTGCTTGGGAAAGTGTCAGTTATTGTGC